ATAATATACGTGTATATATATATATGTATGTATTCGAAAAAACTTATAAAAATTTGAGGTGTTGAACTTCATTAATCAAACACTGAAAAGCTTCGAAAACAAAGCAATTTTTATTTTTGTCAGTAGAAGGAAATGTTATTTTACAGCCGAGAGAAAGAAGCAGTATTGCCTGAAACAAAAGAAAGTGTTCTTAAATCGGATAAGGTACATTTCCCTGAGGATTGCAAGGCTTTAAAAGCAATTCCATTCAACCAATTCTTGCATTTGGAAGATTGAAAACGACTGCTGTGATGGAGCGTAGGTATTTCTTTAGCCCCGAGACACAAATTTTGTCAACTGTAAAAGATACTTTTGATTCGTTCAAAATCACAGATAGCTAATCTCAGTTTCAAACGTAAGAAAAAAATGGCTAAAAAATGTAAATAAATAAACATAACGCATTGTAATAAATAAACATTTAAATTAAAATAAGATAAAATAGTAAATACATTACTATAATTATTTTTAGGAATGAAAAATAATAAACAAATTTAAAATAACTAACCAACATATATCATGAGATATTATTAATCTGAATGATCGATAATAGAAGTCGCTGTTTTCGAATATTTTCACTTTTTATCAATTCCTATTTCCTTCCTCGTTTAGTAACTAGCGAAATGTTTTTTTTTTCTTTCTTTTTCTAAATTTTGTTTTTGTCACACCCAAGTAAGAAATAATACTTATTTATTTTGTTATTCTCTAATAAATAGGTAAGGTGCAATTATTAAAAATAATCATTTGCTGTTTGAGAAACTCATAAACGCTTAATTATCATTTTTATATTTATTGAAAGCCCAATTTTTACAGGTATGTATAGTTATTAAGAAATTACTAATAAACACTTTAATTTTATTTATTTTAAATTCAAAAAGAAAAAAATATTGGTCGGACTACCTGCTTTTGCTGAGTTAAGGCAGTTTTGCATTAAAGCAATCAGAATACTATTAGTTAGGTTTACACTTTTGGCCTCTATGAAAATATGTAAATTTGATAGTTGTTAGAGCAATCCTTTTCAGGTCATTCTATGCAAAACCTATTTCCCTTTTCCTATGAATGAGGATAATATTTTGTAAACCAAATATTAACATTCTGATTTAATAAAAATAATTTTGCTTTGAAAAATTCATTTTATTTTCGTCTTTACTAAATACCTTTTAGTATATTGAACGAATTTCGTTTAATACAATTTCGTTTGGAACAAAAATGTTTTTGTGTCGGATGTTTTTCCTTAAATAATATTAAAAATAGACTTTTCTACCCGTGTTTTGAGATATCGCATTACGTTCGTGTTAACCGGTGCAGTTATTTGATGCGTTTGAAATTAATTTTTTTTTAGAATTATTTGAAATATAAATATTGATAAAAGTTTCAAAACTGCATTACTGAAAAATTCATAAGCTGTTTAAGCTAATGCAAAACATATAAAATTATATTAGTAAAAAGAAATGTTGAAAGATTTATTAAGATCGAGCGGTACACGAAATTGTTCTGTACGTACAGGGTACATGTATGTGGCAAGAAGAAGGTTGACTTTTTGTCGACTGGAGGTTGATTTTCTTTTAAAGGCTTTTTGAAATAAATAATCGCAACAATGAAGAACAGGGCATTAAGTTACGAGCTGTGTCGCCATCTATAAAATTGCCATGGAACTATTAAATGAAACTAAAAATCAGTATAAGGATATAGAGCAAGAAAAAATTTTGCATCTAAAGTTGTATTCATTTAAAAATTATAACTCATAATATTTTTTTTTGTTTTTCTACATTATGAGCTTATTGTTTTTAACGTTATTAATAATTGTTCAACACTGATTTATGTGTTTTCTTTTTTAATGCTGTAAAGAGGCTTCTTTAATATTAATGTATTCCAAATTGAACTTATCAATTATAACTAAAATATTGAATCTGAAAAGTTTTTAATTTAAAATTAAATAGCATTTTTAAAAGCAGAAACAATAAAAAAAAGCATGAAAAATTTAAATTTAATTTTTTTTTTTACATGAAGTAAACCACTTTTACCTCTTTTTAACCTCAAATTCGAATTCATGGAATTTAAGAGCTTTTTAAATGACATTTTATTTCAGTTTTTAAAGCTATAACACATTCGACATCAATCGAGTGCAGCCAGTATAGTG